AAACGGAAACTATGTAGATTTGTATATAAAATATCAATAAGTGTAATAAAATGAAAACTAACAATAAGTAGTCAATATTAATAGCAGTTTAATCATCTTTTTTAATCAAGTACACATTTAAAAGCTAAATTATAAACTCTAATTGAAATCTTAACTATTTCCTGCCTCTCCTAGATATTGCCTTTGGAAAGACATAGAAAATCAATATTTAATAAATAATCGTTTTACCACGTATGTGTATACAATTGGATGTATTGCACAACATCGATACGTTCCGGTATGAGAAATGAGGGAGAACCGCTGATATCAATTTCACGCCGTTCCAACATCCCAGTCATTCCGCTCCAAGAACCATTCTCAGTGCGATATCCCCAGCTGTTCGTGACTTCGAAACTTATCCTAAAGCAAAAATATTGAATTTTGAACCAACAATTAACGCAATATGCTAATGAGCACCGAATACAATTGCTATACATATAAATATCAAATGTGTATATTTATTATACTTATATATTATACATATATAAGCATTTGTATGTGCTGAGCTGTATTTCATAACTCGCAAATTCGACATATCGCATCCCGTGTTCATGAAATCAATAAATAATGACGGTTTTTAATCAAAAATGATTATTTAAAAATATTAATAGCTTTTATCGAAATTCTTTTCTTAATATTAAAGAAAGATGTATTGATCGGCTAATAGATCGAGATACAAAATATAGAAACTGATACATACATATAAAAAGTTGCTTCATCTTTAATTAAATACTTTTGTGCGAGTATTTATACGATTATATAGACGAGCAAAGATGAAAAAAATTATGTCGCAATATTTACAGATTTAATAATAAATTTTGGACTTTAAGCCAAGAAACAAGAGTACATATTATATAATAATCATGGAAGTTGTCTGTTATGGTAATTAATAAATATGTAATGTTTATTTGATTAAACTAATCGTTCCACTCATACGTCTGATTATGTAGTTCTCCAGTTCATAACAATTTATCATTCTTTTTGACGTATGAAATTATCGCTCGATTACTTCACTTTAATCTCATTAATTAATCCCTAGTTCGAATTTATTACGTTGTTTGAAAGCTTGCATTCATAATTTTGAATTAGCAAGACAATTCGTTACAAATTGTCGCCATTGCATGAATTTCAAACATATTAACAAAATATTTTGGCATAGGTATGATTTCAAAGATTGAACTCACGTTGCATTCATTCGGTTCGCTAAATGCAGTATCCAAGGATAATTAGTCTTTGTGGGAGCATCTATGAATTTATCCTTGAAGTCAGTCAAATGATTGATGGTGTTAGGATCCGTCACCTGTGTGTGCAATAACAATCATTCTTGAAAGAAAATATCTCTTCTGTTAAAAGAACATCGGTACTTAAAATGGAGACTACATCATAGCATTTTTTAAATTTATTATGAATATTGCTAGTACTAGCTGTTCGTCTAATATTAGATGTTATATATTAGATGTTATATTATACACATATTACATTAGCTTGCTTACAAAATGCTTTGACGTCTCATTAGTATTTAAGTACACTTGCATGACGATTATATTTTAAAAATACCACGATAGAAGATTTAAGAACCGTCTGTTGAAGATTTCTCCTTCGTGCTGAAGCCACATCAAAAGTGCTCATTTGCAAACCATTCTCGATCGTCCAGTTTCCACGATTTTCCCATATTACACCTTTTTGTGAACTTGGTCGATATATGGATAATAATTCGAGAAAATTGCCATCAAATCTTCGCGCGAGGATCACATCGCTATCAGGATAAATCGCCAAATCCTCGAAAATTTCCAACACAGAGTCATTATATGTAAAAGTTAAATTGGCGTTATCATCGTTGTCGGTCATCGTTTTTTGATTTTTAAAAAGCAGCCATTTTGTCGGAGCGACGAACATCTTTTTCGAGTGTGCCTATCATTTCATATAAGATCGATTATGATAAATTAGAAGATTGATATAAGATACATAACGAAATTGTCTCATCAGTCAAGATATCAGCGAACGTAAAGAAAATTTTTTTTATTATATAATATAATGTATTATATGTATTTATAGACATAAATATTATGTTACCTGTCGTAAAATATCAATGGCGTAATCACAATCTAAGTTCAACATATATAGGTTTTGATGTTCTAAATTATTGTAAATCTTCGGATTAAGTTCTTCGTAGAAGTTATGAATATTATGCATTAAGTAGTTGCTCGACAATATTCTTGATAATTTGATCGTATCATCTGCGCGAAAGGATATTATATTTAATTTAACTTCAATAAATATTTTTTATGCATTATTTTTATTAATATTAAGTAAAGATAGATATTGCACTATATATACAAGGAGAGAATGATTTTATGGAAGTATCTAAAAATTAAGCAAGATATAGATCTGAAAATAATTTTGTTGACTTATCAGTCCTGTGGCATTTTATGTGTTATTATTTCCGACATAAAAGTTAATATATTTTTATAATATATTTTTTATTTAGACTTGTAACTTTTTGTTGAAGAATAAAATAGATAATATATCTATGTATATGCCGTTCAGTGATATATCAGGAAATGGATAAATCTACCTGAATAGTGGACAAAATAATACAAATAGAGTTAAATGTGCTGTATGCGAAAGAAAAGCCAATTCTCGTAAGATTGAAAATTTATCTAAGTAATTGTCAGAAAGGACTGTCTATAACTATTTCTTATTTAATCTTTCAAGAACATAAAATGTCTTGAATAAATATATGCTTATTGCTATTTATTCAACGAAGGACCTTTTGTATTAAACAAGAAAATAGAAAAGAAGACAATTTATGATGGATTTTCTTTCTTACGGTTTATCTTTATATTGTTATTCTTCAAGAATCTCTTTCTCTTTTGTGTACATATCATTTTTTTTTATTGTAGATTTAATGAAAGAGGAAAGGGTAAGAACAGAGAATTTGAGACATTTGCCTTGTGTTAGTATGTAAATTTATCAAAATTAATATTATTGAGATAATGTTCTCATATTTACACTTGTATTTAGACTCTGACTGAATCTTTTTTATTATTTATTCTACAGGCTGTCTCGATATTCGCAAATAAAAATACTGCGCAGCCAGAAAGTTCTCGGAAAAAATGAGTTAAAAAAACTTTTTGCCATTTTTCATTCTAACCGGTAATTTTTGAAATATGAAATTAAATTTTAAATTTTTATATATTTACATATTTCAAAAATTATCGGTCGTAAATTACGGTGAAACGGGTGCTTATCGCGAGTCATCACATGCGAATCATCACTAACATTGTATCGATACGCAACTCAGAGATAGACATCCATTTAGTCGTAATCCATATGTTTCAAACTGTTTTACTTAAAAAAACAAATACTTTTTTAACTGATTTGTTTCCGAGAACTTTCTTGTTATAATATTTTGATTCGTGAATTTCGGGACATCCTGTAGAAGAGCATTCTCTACTTTCCCTATTAGTGTATTTTTTGCAATTACAGCTAATAATTGTTATAAATTTCGAGTGCTTCCTTTCCCCTTCAATGAATAATTAATATATATAGAAATCATGAACATGCACGAAAATCTTGCCATAGTTAATGCATAGATGTAGAGATACTCTCGAAGGTGGAAATAGAGTGGGCGTCGCGTTGACGATAAATCTTACGATAACATCGTCGACGCGAAATGACGCGATTACGTCATTGTCAAGTGACAGCGCGAAGATGCACAGGATAATGAGGATCATCCTGACTGCGCTTGTCTCCGCTAACTGCGGAAATTCTTCAGGATCATAGAGAGAATCGATCGTTTGTGTACCACAGTCTCCCGGTATATTCATGATTACATAACGAGTTGCATAATTCTGCATATTGTAAAATTACGAATCCGCAAAAAAATGACGAACAATCAAGTCAACGTGCGTTATTATGACTGATGAAATATTCAAAATACATGATAGATGCTTGTTAACGTCTATCAACAAATTATATACTTCTGGGTGCTTCTCGAGTTCACCAGCTTTTCTCGTTCTCACGAATGCTTTTTCATTCTTCTAAATACACTATTTGAGACAATAATGGCAGTGTAAAGCATTATAAATCCATGAAGTAGACAGGCCTGAGAGACTTAGCCTACTCTCAATGTCGCAGTTATGGTTTTCGAAGGATTGTCTTGCTTTTTCTTATCGTGAAATAAAGGCACAGATTCTTCGAACACTTCTAGCGCATATGTTCTCGTGTTGAACAGTAAATGCGATTATCAGACAAATTTACTTCACATATATTAAGTTAAACGTTGTTATATTTTAATTAAATACGATAGTAAAAAAAAGTATAATTAAAAGTATAGGTAAAGAATTTTTGTTTACGAAAGTTTCATTTTTTATGCTCCTGATTAATGTAATGTATCAAGTTCGGATTGTTTATTTAACTACTTTGTAAAATAATAATTGTAACAATAATGTAATTGTTGTAATAATTATCGAATTTCAGAAGTGAAAGTTAAACTGAAGTCACTAATTATATAAAGTAACATAATCAAAAGTTTTATGTCAAAATGGAATCGGATGGTGCACATTTTAAATGTAATTTATCAGCACTTAAATTGGGTAACCCTAATTATCTTAAGTGCAATTATTCTAACCTGATAATTGCATTCAATTTTGAATTTTTCTATATTTTAAACCAAAATGACGGCTAAAATTACATTATTTTGTATATGTCTGACATTGGATCATCACTCTGACAGAGTCCAAAATTATAAGGATAAATATTTTTTTTTTTAAATAGATGGAATAGAGAGCTATGATAAGGTAGGATTTTTTCAATATGTTAATTTTCGCTATAAAAACACTTTAACAAATGTAATTATTCAGTGATATCATGCATCCATAGATATTCAAACGTGATACGCAATCTCACTTTTTCGCTATTTTAGACCTCTGAAAATAAGAGGCTTGTTTGAACTTCTTGAAAGGCGGTTGGATGACCACCTTTCAAGTCACATTTCACCTTTTCTCTGTTTCTCTTCAATGTGGAGAAAAATTAAAGAAAGATGAACCGTGCAAGAAGAGTTCTTTTAGCTAAAAAGAACAGACTTAAGGTGAGCAGGCTGACTGTATTTTGTGGCTCGAAAAATATTGTGTTATATAGAGTTTGTTTTCTGTGCCTGCATTAAATTGTATTAGAATTTTCTTTCTAGTTTCTTACTTTTCACAAATATCAAATATTACCTTTTTCAATTTAAGATCCAAAAATATACATTCAGCCACAGAAAACAGACCTATGGAAAAGTAACAGTGCAATCTGAATCTATCATTAGAGGTGACCTGGCTGATATCAGAACGGGTCGCTACTGTATTATTAGCAAGAATGCTGTCATCCGATCGCTTTTCAAGAAATTCAATTATTTTAGGGGGTAAGTAAAGTTTTTTACAATATTAATATATGTTATATTTTCGCTTTAACAAACATTTCAGCGTTACAACGTTGCTTCAACGTTGCTGAAATGTTTCAAAATTTTTCTTACTTACTGGATTGATAGTTTTAATAGATACTAGTTAAAAAAAAAAAATCAAAATTGGCAGCTTACAAACGAGAGCGACAACTCTTTAATATAATTACGCTAAATATTAAATTCTAAAGTGATAAACCCTGCTTAGGGTTGCCTTTTTTCCTCTAACAATAGGAAATCACGTGTTCGTGAAAGAATCAGTTATAATCGTGAACGCAGCGATGGACAGTTCTTGTTTCCATACGGAAGAATGACATAATACGTATAATAAATTTTATCTGCCAAATCAAATGAATATAGTGTAATTCCTTCATATTCAATCGTATTTGTCTCGCTACAGGCAGTCCGGTCTGAAGGACTGTTGCCACATTGAGGACAGCGCGGTCATAACTAAAAACAATTGTGCCATCTTTTGCTCGTTTCACTGACAGTTCGACGACGTACATCGAAGAGTTGCCAGAGTAGCTGCACTCTAGATCATGGTAGACTTCACGAAGAATTATGAACACTTTTTACCAGCACATGTTTAATGCTCTTGCTGTCAAATTATTTTCTTGAAGATCTGTGCTATACAGATAATAATTCATGTATACCATCATTGCTGCTGATTTTAATTGTAATTTTAATTGTAATTATAATTGTTATAACTTGTAAGATTTATTTCTTATACTTTGTAAGCAATTAATTTCAAATTGTACACGTAAAACAATCATAAAGGAAGCTTGTTTATTAATCACGTTGTATATATTTATTTTATAAGTAATCTATTGTACACAGTGTTTCTACATAAGAAAGATTGTTGAAAACTCATTAAAGGAGGCGTAGATGTTCCATAATTTTACATCAAATTAAATGACAACACATTCAAATTATATCGATAAGTCACGTTTACTACTAAAGGATACAAATATCTAAAAAAGTAATAAGAATCTCTAATCAAGATTTTTATGAAGTTCATAATTAGATTAAACGCAGTGCAACGGAAAGCTGAGGAAAATCAGATGCCTCTGAATTTCTTTCGAAGTAGTACATATTTCTGCAGGCATTTAATCAAGATATACCATAATATTGATTTCTGCATTTGACACTTTTTTAATCGCGTTCATAGTTTGCCTACGAGAAAAGATATAATAAATAGCGCAAGGCCTGGTAACGAAGTTTCTCTTAAGGGGATGTTAAAGCAATGCTTGAACTTAATTAATGTCAATAGAAACAGATTTTTTAAATTTTAAATTGAAAATGTCCATTCCGTTTCCTGCAATTTTATTTCAGTTCAGACATATCGTAGCACACACACACATTGTTGCGTTACGCAATCACAAATGTGTGTATGTGTGTATGTGCGTACATGTATATATATTTCTCTCTGCTTTCTCTATCTTTTCTAACAACATTATCTCTCTTTAGCACCTACTGCTATACATATTGCCCTGCTTACTATTATTATAAATCTTCGCTAAGTATACGTACGCAAGTAAATTGCAATTAAGCGAAAATCTTTTTTTTAGGCTTTTAATAATTAACTTCATAAACTGAATATTCTTCGTTTATGTTTATATAATCTAACAAGTGGTACCACATCATTTTGTTCATACAAGTAAAATTTTTATATTATGAAACTGTCTAAATCAAGTAATAACTCTACTAGCTGAAAAATGTATGTTTTTAAATCTTTCTTCCATTTTGAGTATAAATTCAAGTGTTCCACTTCCTTATTTTAATCCTGTAAAATGATTTTTATTCTGTCAGCCAATTCGAAGATATTCATACGTCTACAATGTGTCAATAAATTCCATCACTTCAGCATCCCCTTAAATCTTACTTCTTATGCCACAATGACTCAAATGTAAATATGATTACAGAAAAAAATATTCCGTAGCCCATTATGACCAGCACGAAGTAGCATTCTGTGAAACTAATAGTGATGAAACTAGTTTGACTCGAACATACTGATTTTCTCGTATATAAGTGATATTCCTCGTGATATTTGAGTCCGTATTCTCGCAATTTTAAAGTTCTGAAAACATAATTCCTGAATATCAAACGTTCTGAGAATTATTATGTTATCATGAGATAGTTATTGATTTGTGTTTAGGAATAATGAGTCAATAAAATCTGTTTTTAAAAGTATGTAATATTTTTACGTTAAACTTTAAACTTTCAAAAAATTTAGTTATAAAGACAATTCGTTACAAATTGTCGCCGTTGTATTTATTTCAAACACCTTAACAAAATATTTTGGCATAGATATGATAATCAAAGATTGAACTCATGTTGCATTTATTCGGTTCGTTAAATCAGTATCCAAGGATATCCTACTTTTGTGACAGGATCTACGGATTTATCCTTGAAGTCAGTCGAATGGTTGATGGTGTAGGATCCGTCATCTGTATGTTTGTAATTTAAATAATCTTGAAAGAGATCTTGGAAGAAAATATCTCTTTTGTTAAAAGACTATTGGCACTTAAAATAGAGATTATAAACGAGATATATATGAGAGATATATATGAAATGTCATAATATTTTTGAAATTTTATTATGAACGCTAATACACTTACTTTTTGTCTAATATTAATTCTTATATACATTTTACATTAGCTTGCATACAAATTACTTTGACGTTTCGTTAGTATTTAAGTGCACTTGTATGACGATACACTTATATTTCGAAGTATCACGAGACAAGATTTAAGAGTCGTTTGTTGAAGATTTTTCCTTCGTGCTGAAGCCATATCGAAAATGCTCATTTACAAACCATTCTCGATCGTTCAGTTTTCAGATATTATACCTCTCTGTGGACTTAGTATATGGATAATAATTCAAGAAAATCGCCATCGAATCTTCGCGCGAAGATCACGTCGCTATCAGGATAAATCGCTAAATTCTTGAAGATTTCCACCACAGAGTCATCATATGTAAAAGTTGAATTGACGTTATCATCGTTACCGGACATCGTTTTTTGATGAAAAAGTAATCACTTTGTCGGAGCGACGAATATTCTTTCCGAGCGCGCCTATCATATCATATCAAATACTGATGATCATAATAAATCAGAAGATTGATATAAGGAAAAACAATAATGAAATTGTAAGTCTCATCAGTCAAGATGTCAGCGAAATGTAAAGAAATTTTTTATATAATGGGTGCCTTCCAACAAGCGACTCAGTACAACACAGTGATTATCTCATCCTTATTTAACATTGACGAACAAGGATATTATGATATCACATCGTGTTATGTGTGTTTTTCTTTCGTTATGTTTGTCTTTCTTTTATTCGAAGGCATCTTATGTATTTATAGATATAAATATTATGTTATCTGTCATAAAAACATCAATAAAACATCAATAGCATAATCATAATCTAAATTCAATATATATAAGTTTTGATGTTCTAAATTATTATAAATCTTTTTGGATTAAGTTCTTCGTAGAAATCATGAATGCATCAAGTAGTTACTCGATAATATTCTGGATAATCTAATCGTATCATCTGCGAAAGGATATTATATTTAATTTAACTTCAATAAATATTTTTTATGCGTTATTTTTATGAATAAATAAAGATAGAAATTGTATCTGGCGCTAAGGTACGAGCAACTACTGTGGTTACTTAAATACAAGGAAAGAGCAATTTTATGGAAGTATCTAAAAGTATGGAAATATCTTAGATAAAGAAAATAATTTTGTTGACCTATCGATTCTGTGGCATTTTAACTGTTATTATTTTCGAGGTAAAAGTTAATGTAATACATTCTTATCTAAACTTGTAACTTTTTTTTCAAAAACTGTAAAATAAAATCTATCTATGTAGTCGTTTAGTGATATTACTAAATGGATGAATCTACTTGAATATTGGACAAAATGAATAAAGATAAAATAAAGATTAGATATATTATATATGAAAGAAAAATTAACTCTGGGAAGATCGAAAATTTTTAAGTAATCTTCAGAAAAGACACATTTACCCTTGTATTTAGACTCTGATTATCTTTTATTATTTATTACACAGTGTCGATTTATTATTACACAGCTGTATCGATATTTGCGAATGAAAATACTTCGTAGCAAAATAATTCTCGAAAAAAATGAGTCAGAGTTAAAAAAGCTTTTTGCTATTTTTCATTCCAACCCGTAGTTCTTAAAATATGAAAATTTAAAATTGGTCAATTATAGATTACAGTTAAACAAATGTTTGTCGTGAGTCACTACGCGCATTAACACTATATCGATATACCGCTCAGGGGCAAACAGCCGTTTAACTGTAAATTGTAAGTAAGACCAATTTAAAACCGTCAACCTAAATGGCAAATACTTTTTTAACAAATTTATTTTTGAGAACTTGTTATAATACTTTGATTCGCAAATTTCGGGACATCTTGTAGAAGAGCATTTGCTATTTTCTCTATTAATGTATTTTTTGCAATTGCAGCTAATAGTTATAAATTTTGAATGCCTTCCCATTTTAAATTGTTAATATATGAACTGTTAATATATAGAAATCATGAACATGTACGAAAATCTTGCCATGGTTAATGCATAACTGTAGAGATATTCTCAAAGGAATAGAGCGGACATCGCGTTGACGATAAATCATGATAATATCGTCGAAATGACGAATTACGGTATTCCCGAATGATAACGCAAGGATGCACAGGATAATGAGGATCATCCTGATCGCGTTTGTCTTCGCTAACTGCGGAAATTCTTCAAGTATCATAGAGAGAATCAATCTAATCGTTTAATGTACCATAATTTCTCGGTATATTCTTGATTACATAGCGATTTGTGTAAATCTACGCATTGTAAAATCCGCGAAAATGGCGGACAGTCAAAGTAACGACTGTTATTACTGATAAAATATTCATGGTAAATGATAGATGCTCGTTAACGTCTGTCAACAGATTACATAGTTCGGATATTTCTAGAGACATGATTTCACCAGCTTTCTCTTTCCTCTTTTTCATCCCTCCAAATGCACTATTTGAGACGTAATGTATAAAGCATTATAAATCCCTAAGAAACGACAGACCTATAGAAAGACTTAGTCTGCTCTCAATGTCATTGATAGGGTTTCGAAGGATTATCTTACCTGTTTTCTTATCGTGAAACAAAAGTTTGCATTCCGAATATTTCTGACGCACATGTTTGACGCACATGTTCTCGTGTTGAACAGTAAATGTGATGTCAGACAAATTTATTTCACATATATTAAGCTAAACGTTGTTATTTTAATTAAATACGATATTTTACGGTATTTTTATTAAGTATCATATTTTAATTATACGGTATTAAATATAATTAAAAGTGGGAGAAAAAACTTTTGTTTACGAAAGTTTCATTTGTTTTATTCCTGATTAATGCAATATATAAGTTTGGATGATTTATTTAACAACTTTGTAAAATAATAATGGTAACAATAATGTAATTGTTGTAATGACTACTGAATTTCAGGAGTGAGAGTCAAACTAAAATCATTGACTATATAAAGTAACGTAATAAAAAAATTTTGAGTCAAAGTGGCATTGGATAATGCCATTTGACATTTTATAAATGTTTACTTATCTGTAGTTAAAAT